GATAGAAAGAGTAGTTCTAGCTAGGACATTGTAATATTATCTAATGATAATATAAATTATATGGGCTGTAAAAGTAAATAGTAAAAGGAAAAAAAAATGCTTTCAAACATACAAGGCCCAAGGTAAACCGCACACATTTTTTAAATGAAACAACATGAAATAGTAGTTTCTACAGCTTCTCTCCCTAGATCTGTAGGTGTTGATGAGCATAACCAAAGTAACATTTAAGAGAAACCACACTTTTGTTTCATTTGCAGGAGTTCATTGACTGAGGACCCTAGTCTTACAGCAAATAGATCTCTTTGTACAGTAAGTCTAATTTTACATGTTGCCAGTAAATTAATAGCAACTTTTGTTTTAGATCTCTAAAATTGCATGTTACCATTGAATGGACCCCCCTCACAATTGTAATTTTAGATAAAATGTATTTTTCTTGTCCTTGTAAGAGCATCAAATTCGCATCCAGCTGAGGGGACTCACACACTCTAGTCTGCTTATCACTATGGAAACCAGGGAAAGTTCTAGCCCTGTGAGCCGCTGTGGCTCAGGTATGGACTTTACTTTTACCTTTTTTGATACTGTGTTATTTGTGGTATTCGGTTATTACTGAATATACAGTACACTATGTTACCCTTTAAAATACTAAGTGTCGACACTATGTTATGGTTTAAACCTCAGTAGCTGGAGCTCTGACAAACATATATCATAATGTCTTCAAATCATTATTTTGGAAACCAAATCAGAAAACAACATCTGCTTTCATTATGAAAATATTTTTGTTTTCGCAATTGTTTCAAAATGACTAATTTAATTGAATTATCAAATAATTCACTTTGACGGAACCAAATATTTTCTACATTTTATTAAAGTCCTTGTTTAGTAATTTTATTACCATGATCTACATAATGATAGTGTACTTTGTGTTAATGACATGACATTGTAATGAAAGCGTGGCTTTGGTGAAGTTCTCCAGGTTCACTTTAAGCATACTGGAGCTTCTGTAAAGTGTACTTTCATAACTTGTGAATTAGGAGGTTAGCAATAGTGAATTCTCAATGAAACAAAAGCTGTTACTATTTTTTCTTCAATGTGGCCTGACATAACAGGATGTAACAATGTAATGTAAAAATATATAATTTTTTCACAAAACACAGTTTGAATAACATCAGGTTCCATGCATAAACCACAAATGATTTTTTAAAAATGCTTATTTTAGACAACCTGGTATCAACCTCAGATTTATTGCTACTCAGCTGCAAAAATGTAAGCAGAGAAACACCTCCTTCAACCTGAGGTTTGTTTGCAAGTAAATCTGATCACTTTCAGTGTAAATGTGGTATTTCACACTGTGGTGTTGAAAGCTTTGACCAATCAGAAGCATAGAAACAGAAAAGGACCCAGAATTGAGCCCTGATGAACACCAGAGGAGAACAGATCTGAACCCACCCATGGAGACGAATTACTGTCTCTTGGGGAGATCGGATAAGAACTGTAAGTGGTACAGATACTAAGAACTAAGTATCTGTAACGCTCTCTAGATGAACAAGAAGAATATTATTGTTCACACTATTGAGTCCCAGTCAAAATAGGACATAGAGCAATTAAAAGATCATCGACATCCTAGAAAAGGACTTTTTCTGTGATATGAAGTATTCCAAAACCTGATTGAAGGAGGTTTATAAAAGTTAATACATATGTTTCAGAATTTTCAGTGAAAACTGCAATTTTGAAATAGGTCTCTAACTTAACTTACTGTTACTAAAATGGCTTAGGTATATTTGTTTGGTAGAGTTTGGTTACTCAAATGCTTGGGTAGTTTTATGCAGCACTGGTGTCAACAGCAATTTTATGTTCTGAAAATACACCTCCAATGCTCAAGGAGTCATTGATGATTTTTTTAGAAAAAGAGATAGAAAAACAGGAAGAAAGAAGTTAGGTTTTTAACGGGTCTAACTGAGAAGTAATTGGTTTAGCTTTATTAACAATGTCAGTGAGGCTATGGTACAAGACCTGAGCAGCTAACCATATTTTACCATAGGATGAACCAAAACCAGAACATTAAGGGCTTGAAGATGTTATGGACAGATTTTCTCAATCTCTGTGGTTAAGAAAGCCAAACAAAGTATTACACAGGCTCTGAGAGGTAAATAATGCAGAAGAATAGTTTGGGTCTAGGAACTCATCCAGTAATGAAGAGCACAGGCTTTTGGTTGTCATTACCATTCTCAATAAGACTAGAGAAGTACCGTGATCTGACAGGGGCAGCAGAATCCCTATAAGCTAACATTAGTCCTGCAATACTGCAAAAAAAATCACTGAAAACATGGTCTTTGGGATACAAATAGGTAGAAGAAAAATATAACCAGTGAACAAGTATCTTAAACAATATAATGGCACTTAACACAATCATTTCTGTTCAGTGTTCTGTTGTGTATACATTATATATTGATAATGGACATACTGTATATACAGTGTGTATTATAAACAGTACATACACGTTACTTATGAAAATGGACCTCAAAATAGATGAGACCATTACACTACAAAAAAGTACAAGATTTGATATTTTACATAGTTACAGGATTTCCATCACCATTTTTGTTATTTCAAAGTATAACAACTAAACAATAATGGAGATACTAGTTCTATCTATCCATCTGTCAATTTTCTAATTGCTTTATTCAATTTAGGGTCATGGCGAAGCTGGAGTCTATCCTGACAAGGAATGTGCACATGGTGGGATACACTTTGGAAGGGATGCCAGTCCATTGCAGGGCGCACACAAACACACATGTAGACCAGGGGTAGTTTTCCCAGAAGCCAATTAATCTACCAGTATATTTTAGACTGTGGGAGGAAACTGGAGAACCTATAGGAAACCCACACAAACACGGTGAGAGAATACAAAATCCATACAGATAGTACCCCAGGTCCAGAATTAATGATAATAATTGCTTACACTTCTATAGCACTTTTCTGGACACTCAACTCAAAGCACTTTACAGGTAATGAGGACTCCCCTCCACCACCACCAATGTGCAGCCCCACTTAGATGATGCAACAGCAGCCACAGTGCGCCAGTACACTCACAACACATCAATGTGTGTTAATTTACTTCTCATCCGAAGGACTGCACCATTTAACAGTATAGTGTTCCCATCACTGTACTAGGTAAAGTAGGGGTATTAGGGTCCACACAGACCACAGGGGGAGCACCCCCTGCTGGTCCCACAACTCTTACAGCAGCAACCTTAGTTTTTCCCAGGAGGTCTCCCATCCAGATCCTGACCAGGCTCATACCTGCTCAGCACCAGTAGGTTGCCAGTTGTGAGCTGCAGGGTGATATGGCTGCTGGCTCTTGGCTGAGTCCAGGGCCCCAATTCCATGAGGCAGCAATATTAACCACTGCACCACTGTGCCACCCAAAGTATCTCTAAATTCACAGTATCTAATCACATGGAACAAAAATTAATTTGTCAAGTAATACCTATATTGCAACCACACTTGACATGTTTTCTGTTGCAAATAAATAAACTTTTATAATGTTATTTACCTTGTGATTACATTATCGTGTCAGTTGTCATTGGTCTGATAAGTCCTGAAATGTGAATGTTGGTGCGATGAACTGGTAACCCAGAGGACAGGGTCGAGGTTAAGTGCCTAGAAGTACATATTAGAAAATAATGCTTTCCACACTCCAGGTGCTGATACCTCATGGAAAAAATAAACAACAGACAAGTTGCCCATTTGCAATAGTGATGCTTTATGACAATGATGGATAGGTAGAGTAAGCAGCAAAGATTAAGCAAGATAATGAAACTTCATAAGTTTGTAAAGTTTAGATTAAATGATCAGAAGTCGAGCTCTGAAAACCTCTACGAAAGGACTCCCCTTTGTTGTCTACCTGAACTGGTCATGCCAATTTGAGAAGAGCTATGGGTCTAAACAGAAATACTGGATACAATTTCCACACCAGAAACACACTGACCTTCTCTGCATGCAAGACTGTACAATATAGGCCAAACCAATCCTAAAAGGATAAAAGAGTGGCAAGAACTCACTAGAGATTAGATTGAAATGAAGCTACATGGTCTTGACCTGAACTGCAAGGTAATTAAAGAATTGCCCTGTGTGATGCTGTCAGACCAGGGTGAAAATGGTCTATCACCGCGTGGAACAGGATGGAGTTGAAGATTACCTGTACTGGTAAAACGAATGGGCCATTACCCATTTCCTTTCTTTTACATATTAGAATCCTAAATAACTTTACGTCTGCTCGTTGCGAAAATCAACACAAACCTCATAGAGAGGAACTGAAACAGTGCCTCAGAGATACATCACTGACCTTGGATTAAACCGTATTCCTTTGGTTTTGTAACAACCTCCGAAGCAAAACCTGAGCTTTTATCTCTACAAGAATGACAATTTAGGAAAAAAATTACGGTGTTGCCCCCAAATACGACTGGTTAATATGTATTTAATTGTGTCAATAGGTATTAATGGTCGCAAGGTACAGTATATTTCTAATATTGTATTTTTATAAATTTTAATTCGAATAGAAATCTAATATTGCAGAGACATTTATCAACAGGGCAAGGAATTAACTAAATGAAGGCGGCTATCATGATTTCTCAAACGTAGTTAACAAGTCTCTCTCCGGACGAAAAACAAAACGTAACTTATCACGAAGAGGTAAAAACATTTTCGTGTCTCTCCACACACGCTAACAAGGTTGGCTGGGAGATAAAGGTTATTTACATTAATTTACAAATATGTTTCCAATTAAAATGAAATATTAAAAGCGATGTGGGTATTAATATTCTGCGGAAAAACCCTGCGTTGTTAGGTACGCTTTTGAACGAAAAGAAAAAAAAGAAATTTACCCTGAGTGTTAACTGACTTGGGTTACGAGCGTTTTAGACTAGCAATGGAAACTTTTTTTTTCTTGAAGCGCTTCCCTGCTGCCTTCTACTTGGCGACATTAGAAAAAGAATAGCTTGTTCCGTTGATTTAAACCTTGCAGACAGTCTAACTTCCTTCCTGCTTTTTGTACATTAAACAAACGTGTAACTCCGAAGCATAACGCTGAAGAACTGAACTGGTCAATACCGTAAGGATATTGAAATGACGCTGGAGAAGCAAAAACGCGAAGTCTAAGACTCGGACAACTAGATCGCTTCTACTATGCGGAAATCGTGAAAGGGATTCTGCTTTTCAGAGCCTGCTGAGCAGATGTCGCTCGGGGGGGATCTATTCAGAAGTTCTCTGGAGTAAAGCGGTGTCTAGGTCGTACTGTATTTTACTTGAGATTGAGGACTGGACAGGGACGTACCTCCAGTGATAAAAAAACAGCCGAGCCTTTCTACAAGGTAAAACCAGCTAATTTCTTTCAGTAGGTCAGTTGCCGTAACTTTTGCTTGGCAAGTCTTGAAATTCTGTTTATGAACGGGGACTGTATGAAGAATGCTGTGCACGAGTGACGTTCTGCAATGATGCCTGGCTCCTCTGAGAACGCTTTTAAGAAATTCACAGACTTAGGAAGTATACATGTATGTTGCTACGCATACCGTTACAACGGCGCTTTAAATAGTGAAAACAATGAAGCAATTCTCCGCTGGACGTACAGTACAGAGCCAGGAAGGTGATTCATGTTGGTCTGCTGGTGCGTTTGACTGCAGCGGTGCTAAGGACAAGAACGAATTAGAAGCAATAATAGACATCTAAACAATAATAGAGACCTAAACGTAAAAAAAAATTGTGTAGTTGAGACCAATAACATACATTAAAGTTATTTTTGTTTACTCAACATTTTGATTTTAAATGGTACTGTACATTCGCAGTTGCCTATGTGAAGTGTAGCTAAATGCTGTACCTTTTAGATGAAGTATTCCTAAAGTAGTAAAAGTGTTTGTGTATTAAACTTTAAGGGACCTCGAACGTGGTGAATAAAATGTATTTAATTCGTTTTATTAATTGTGTACAAACCACTAGTACTGAAAGCGACGCAAAGTTGTTGCAACACAGTGATGCTTTTAAAAGCACATTCCACACTCAGGAATCCGAAGTACTGGCCGTTGATTACCATGTATAGAAGACAAGTTTACGCTTGCCAAGAACCGATTTTTTCAATAGAAACGATTTTGTTCTGTTTCTCAAACTGAAAAAGCCGCATGAATAAATGAATTACAGCTATTAAAAATAAATTCCATTGCAAGCACGTAAAAGGCAGGTGATGTAAATTTGAACACGTGAGAATGCGTTATATGCACATATAAACAGAAAAGGTAAAATACTGAATAAAATATTGTTATTTGTTATGGTTTATTATTCACCAGCATTTATGCTATTTTTATTAACATGCAAGACAGTAAAGGCAGAAACGAATTAAAACCATGTGTGTTCAAAGCTGTGTATGAAGTTTTCTATTCAAGTGCGTTCAGTTATGAGCCACTGAGATTTGTACAGCGAGTTACAAACCCATTTTATATCATGTTGCTTTAAAATGAAGAGGTGATTGAGCCTTAGTGAGCTTCATCGTTCAAAAACCTTAGAGCACTGTGGTTAAGATTAGCCTGTTTTTGTTTGTTTCTTTAGTTACATCACTGCATCGAATGTGGCCTGGTACTTAACCATTTGATTGTTATTATAAAGAAGGCCAAACAGAACAGAGAAACTGGGATTGCTAGTTTTCATATACTCCTTGGATGCAAATTTTGCAAAACATATTGTTGAGTACAGCACTGTGGCATTTTTATTTTTTCCACACGTTTGATTTTCAACCAAGTAACTCCACATTTGTGTAAGTGAACGTCGACTGATACCTTTTATTCGATCCTTAAACCAAATCATTGATAGGCTAGTAGTGGATCTAGGAGGACTCCCCACACTCTTGTTCAGTAGTGGTCACTGTGCTGTGTTGACAGGTAACAAACCCAGATGGTTTTTGCACACCTGCCTGCTGTATGTAAATGGAAAAAAGATAGTACTTCATTTTAGGATAGATTAAAAATCACCATCTAAGAGTATGTAATATTTTCAAATTAATCTTTAATATTTTATAACTGGACCAAAGATATGAAACCACATTTTAATAATGTGCCAGAAAACTCTAAAATAAAAATGCAAGAAAGCAGTTGCTGAGTAAAGTGGCCCCTTTGTTAGACTTTGTGCTTCACAAATGGGAGTGAAAGAGCAATTTCAAAGACCATCAGAATAATAATGCATAAGGTCTCTTATTGGAGCCCCTTCAAGTGCAGACATTTTGAGGTCTGAATATTTTGACTCCTACACTGGTACAGTCAAAAACTCAGTTGCAACTGAACTGAATCTACGCTGACTTTAGGTAATTGAGCAAGTACATGTTTCGTAGTGATGGCAGTAGGTTGGTGTTTTTAATGGCCATTGTGAAGAGGCAATGTGACATTTACCTGTCTCTGCAAGGAGTTTAGAGGAATCCAAAACCCTAAACTGTCTTGTGGCACCAGGCCCAAGCGCACAATACTCTCCTCTGAGAAACTGAAGAGCTCCCTAATGGTGCCTCAGTTCTCAATTTGACTAAGTTTATTGTTTTCTGTTCCCCCACCCTTGCCCCTGATTAATACACCTCTTCCGAAAATATAGCAGCTGAAGTTAAGCGATAGATTTCCTCTTGTAGTTGTGTCCCTGGAGAGGAGGCTAAATTATCCCGTCCTGAACCAATACACAGGAGTATTCCCTGTTTAAGCATTTGTTGTTATTTATTACATCGGATTCTTTTGACGAGTTCTGTGAGTTGGTATTATGTCAGCTTTAGAAATATAGTCGCTGTCGTTTTATAGACTAATAGCCAAATGTAACTGGGTGAAAAAATTCTGTATGAAACTGTTTCTGCTTCGTTGGCTTAGTGACAGCATTTAAAAGTTATTTGTTATGCAGGTACCAGGGCCTTGCTCTGAGGAGACCCTCACCTGTAGATAAAGATTGATTTTAATATTAATAATATAACTAGTGTTTGCTTTTATGTGCCGTCCACCTACACCTCAGATTTGTACCGAGACTCCTGTACATTTATGAAATGTAGTTTGACTTACGCCTCTTATCTTAGCAATGCTTTGTTTTTTTGAAGGTACTTCTCTAGAGCTCAGATTAAAGCCAGACATTGCTGTTTAGGTCTAGGTTATGTCACTAACTGGGAGTTGTGACCAACCAGCGCTGCACCACAGACTAGCTTGGTGAGTGACAAAGGCCCTTGTGACTTACACTACAATCCATTCACTGGGAGCTGCATCACTCTTCTAACTAAGCAATCTGCGCTTGCTGTGTCCGGAGGCTGAAGGGCTTTTAAGTGAGAATTTGGGAGGAAAGTGCAGGGATGAAGCTCGTAGTGATAGTTCACTATACTGTCATCTGAGACTCTGAATTTGGAGCTCATAAAAATAATTAGCACCTCCGTATGTAACCATTAACCTAACGACAGGAGAGACCGGGTGCAAACAAATCAGGATAAAACAGCATTTATCTTCGTTTTTAGTAGCTATGCTACATCGCTTAATAGCTTTCATGCAAATGCTTTTAAACTGAATTGATCACTGAATATGTGGGATAATCTTAACAATAAACTAAACAAATACTGCTTGCTTTTGGAACACGCAAAAATGTTAAGCAAACATTCAAAACCTTTAAAACATGTTGAATTAGCTCAATTTGTTGATAGTTTTCTATTTTGCTTTTGTTGCTAATGTTCCTGGTTTATCTTTGTGTGATGCCAGAATCCTGGTCTGCTTAATTTATGGTAGTGTGAGCCACAGAATATCACTTTAAAAAGTAATGTATAAATACACACAGAAGAAACACAAATACATTTTTCCACACCATCTATTTCTATTGTTTTGTCTGATGTTTCCACAGAGGTTCTGCCAATTATTACTGATTCTAAACAGCCTAATGCTGAGAAGCACGTCTACAGCTATTGCCACAGTCGGTGAAACAAACATTCAGCTTATGTTCACAAAAAAAACAGGCCAAAATGTTTTAAGCCCAACATTAAAGTAAAGGAAAAACTATCAATTCTTTAGTTTTTTTTTAAATGGAGACAATCGGCACCGTCTGTGTTTTGACCAGATGTATGACTGCTGAGTTTCAGTGGTTTAAAGGAAATGGCTTAAATACTTGGAAGTAACTATAAAATTACAAAACTGTACAATTAAGAACCCGTTTAATACATTAAAATTCACAGTTTTGCTTCTTAAAACAGCAGCTCTCTTTAATTCGTCCAGTCTTCCATGACAGGGGACACCTCAAGGACCCTGATTAACTGTAGAACTGGCACTATTACTTCTTTATTGTTTCAAAGCAGTAGTGCTATCATCTAAAAAGTTAGTCCATCATGCCTTTGATTGAAAAATGCAATTCTGTATTTTTTTTATTTTGAAGTTTGTCGTGTCTTCACTAAACTGACTCCTTTTCAATTTATTTTTTCCCCCAGCTTCTTTGTTTATGGTGCTGGATGTGCTGAAATAAACTCTTCAAACAAACAAGCTTTCTGTGACCCTGGCTTTCTCTGACCGTCGTCGGTGAACCTCGCCCTTCTGTCTATCGTTGCTCCCCATTTCAAGAAGGCCGTTTGTCCCTTTCCCACTCCCCCCCCCCCAACCCCCCAAAACAAAAATCATGCTGGGGTTGAAGAGTCAATGGAGCAAACAAGATCAAGGCTAAATGGGAACTCTTCAAGTGACCAACAGCCTGATATTATGGCTGCATATGCCTTGAACAGCTTAATTATGATGAATGCAAATAATCTGAAAAGTGACAGCAGTCCTCGGACTGCAAGGCCTGTAATGCCTGTGCCAGATCGAAATGCTACCTACTGCCAGGTACTGGTGAGTGGGGGCAGATACAGCCCCGGGAGCCTGAGTCCTACGTCTCCCAGGACCTCCTTTGTGTTCCCCAGCGTTCCCAGCCCCAGCAGCCCGAGAGGCCGGTCTCCCACAAGGCCGCCTGATACCTTGGGGGTGTCAGAGGGTGGCCGGGCGAGGAGGTTCAGCAGCCCCAGCCGGGGGAGGTTCAGTGACGATAGCCAGCCCCCCAGCCCCGGGCCGTATGGGGAGCTGAGTCTGAAACTGGGCTTTCCAGAGGAGAAGCAGATCAGGCGGATGGTGCAGATTCCACAGATCCACCGGGAGTTACAAAACGTTGAGGTGAACAAAAAAGTGGACCTGTTTGAGGCCCAGATTTCGGACCTCCGCTCCAGGGCGCAGAACTCCGGGATCCCGCGGAGTCCCCGGAATGCCCGCAGGCCCTCCTTTGCCTCGGAGCCGAGCGAGGCTGCCAGGGAGGCCTCCCCTCAGCGACAGGACGGCCTGCCCTGTATCCCGAAGGAGTTCCAGAATGGAAAAGGATGTGGCAGCTCAGACAGAGAACTGGAGAACTGCATAAAGGAAAACAGCCTGGGTGACCCAAATAGGGAACAGGGCAGGCAACATGCAGACAAATCAGCAGGAACGTGGACTAAAGCAGACAGTTCAGCCAGCAGTCATTCCCCTAGTTCACTGGGGGTTGGCAAGAACTTGGCAGCGACAGAGCAAGCAGCAGCAACAGCAGGGTCCAGCCCTTGCTTGACGAAGGAAGGAGCCGAGCCAGCGGAAACCCAACAGCAAGCTACTGCCTCTGCTTTAGGTGAGGGGAACTGCCCTGAGGTGGGGAGCATCCCCTCCGTCATTGTAACAGACCACGGGATGGAGACGCCGGAGGAAGGGGCCGACATGCAGCCCAGCCCTCACTGTGCCAGAGCGGCGAGGAAGCTCTCCTCTTCCTCCAACTCCTCCACCGGCTTCTCGTCCTCTTGGGAGGAATCGGAGGACGATATCTCCAGTGACCCCGAGCGTGCGGAGGGACAGTCCTCCGCCTTCCTCCAAGCCGAGCAACAGAGCAATCCTAGAGCAGTGAGTCTGGCCATTTCGGCATGTTTTCTCATCTCTCGGTTTAGGAATAATGGGTCGTTATGGTCTCTGCATGCAACACAACTGGCCATTTTTAGAATTGTGTCCCGGCCCGTAGTGTACAAGCCAAGATAAATCGTGAATGAGTTACCTTTTGTGCCATGAACTAAAAATAATGATTAAAATACTATATATTTTATATTTGTATATTTATACAAAGATTGTTTGGAAAAGGGATACAGCTAGATGTTTTTGTAGATTATAACGGAGGGCAAAAGAAAACTAAAGTAAATTTTGTGGCAAACCAACCACAAGAAAAATAAATAAAACGGCACTCTATAGAAATCTACAGAACAGAGGGGGGCATTTAGGAGCTATTTTAAGATCTCAGGGAATCCCAGGGGATACTGGGAGGGAACTGCACACACAACAAATAGAGGGTTTGCCTGGTGTGCCAAAAACCAAGTGGTGTATGTGTCTTTAAAAAAGTTTGTCACTTTTAACTTTATAGTTAAAATTGCTTTTATGTTTTGTTCAGTAGTAAAAAGGAAAACTAAAATATTTGCTGAAAGATCAACCTGTCTTATGTATAAATCCATAAGGTTTACATAAATTGATCATAGATGGGCCTTTTCTTTAAAACAAAACATAGATATAAATGCAGGCAAACGTGAATAGACAGAATTTATAGTCCACGGGTAGAAGGATAAAACATAAGCTGGTAGCAACTAGGGAGATCTGGTGTGGTAGAGAGTCCCTCCACATGGATAATTATCCCACCCTACTTGGCTTTAACAGTGTTTGTGCACAATGATATTCCGTTAGTGCTCAGTCCTGGGAATTCGTTATTTCATGTCGTTGCTTTCTTCAGGGGTGGATCTGGATTGTGACATTGTTTCAGACATTAAGTGGAGAAGCAAAATGTGTCACAAAAGTTTACTGTATATAGGAACTGTGCATTTCTAAAAAGACTCATACAATAAAGTTATTCATGCACTTGTATTATTGCTTAATTACAAAATTATATCTTCATAGATATTTAGGTTTCAAACAAAAGTAGCGTAATAAAGAGCTGTCCCATGGATTTGTGACTTTTAGCACGCAATTTGTTTAACACACAACTGAGCAGTCTGTACCATTATCACATAACAGCAATCTATGCCAATTTCACATAAACACAGAAGATAACTTCTGTCTGCATTGCTTATTTTTGAAGTTAGTGAAGGATTGTAACAACATGTAAAAAATAATTAAATGTTCTCGTGCTGTAGTTAACAAGTCGTGACGGACTAAAGCTAACTGTTACACAGAGCAGCTTGCACTTGCAAAATCTCTTATCGACTATCATAAAATAACTGTTCTTGAATAACCTTGTGACATAAAGTACTTTAGATATGCACAACATTGACAGTTAAATACTCAACAGGTTGTACATCAGTTAAACATACTGTATATCATCAAGTGTCTTGGTTATGATGTCTTTTCAGCTCCAAATGTGCAAATATTTATTTTTTAAAAGCCATTGACATTCAGTAAATACTTATATGTCTGGCTGGTGGCCTGCAGAAATGTTACGTGGCTTTCCTTATACTTTGCTATGTTTAGCTTGAACTTTTAAGAAGCAAGTCGATTGACTCTTAATGAGTTATTTGATAACTGATGACATGAAAGTAATGCAAAGGCTTTTAGCTTATCTGATTTCTTATCAAAGCATTTGGGTTGCTTTTTTAGCCTTTTCCTAGTATTATTATTAGTGTTAGTAATCTTTTATCTCACTTTGTAAGCACAGGACACAGTTTTTATGATCTTTCAGGTTCAGTGTAGTATTCGAAAAACAGGTCTTTCCGAACAAGAATAATACACTGTATCACTAAGCTGTTTCACAAAGGTCTTCCTTCAATCCTTACTAAACTGCAGGACTCTTAACACAGAAACACACAGATTAAAAGACTCCTTGCCTTTGCAGTTAGAGCATTTGGTAAAAACTACTTCCTACATTGAAGCATTGTGATCTAAAATGATCTGGATTTGAAAAATCTTTTGTTTAAAATATTAAGACTGAATTCTCACTAATCGTTTTGGTAATTAATTTAGTCTATTCTTTTACAAAAAGCCTATGTAAATGGATCCAACTGAAAATTGCCCAGGATGAAACAGGCCCTGGTGTGAGTGGGTGTGTGTCAGTGTCTGATGGACTGATGTCCCATCCAGGGTGTAGCCTGCCTTGTGCCCGTTACTTGCTGAGATAGGCTTCAGCTGTCCCATGTCCCTGAACTAGAAGAAACTATTAGAAACTTTATATATTATAGCCATTCACAGAACAAAATTGTATTCTGAGTTGAATTTTGAGCAAAAAAAAATTCCCAAATTTGGATTTTTCTGCACTGTAAGATGAGAGGTATTGCATTAAGTTAATTGATGTTCATAGGAACTCGGAATCTGCTCTCACGGAGTTTAATATGTGCAACAGCATGCTGCATTAACTTAGAATTAGTCTGGATAATAATGCTATAAAGCCATGCAGTGACATACAGTAAGTACTCATGAACCAAATGCGTGGTGTCCCAGTCTGGACTGAGGAAGATTCTGTATGTGTTAAAAGCAACATAAAAAGACATTATTCTATAATTGGATAATAGGCTTAAAATATTCTTAATGGAATTGCAGTGTTTTTGCTAACAGCTGAACATATGACAATGAATAGTATGAATGAGAAAACCATGTGACTTTGAAACACACAATATGGCATCTTTACTGCCTTATCCTTGGTTGGGGATTAGGAGGACAGAACTGTGCAGTGCCCGACCCCTGCAAGCCTGAAGATGAAGATATACATCCTGGAAAGCCCTTTATCTGCATGCTTTGAAAAAGACAGAAAACTTATCTGAAAGAGGATGTTATATAGGTTGTGGTTTAGCGGGTTTACGTAATGTCCAGTAGATCCTGTATGTGTAAATATACTTAGTGCCTAAGGGCATGTTCTGAATACGTATTTTAAATAAAAAGGCTTTATTTGAATATTGGATTAGTTCCATAAGGTTTCACCTCTTGGCCTCCCACAATACATCCTGGAAGTACAGTAGTTATAGCACTTTTTTCGCTTTGGATAAAAAAGGCAGCACAGTTAGTTTTACAAATGTGTGTGAAAAACTTGTTAATAACTTCCTGAACTATTCAGAGCAGGACAGAATACAGATGTACTGTAGAAGGTGCTATGGACACGCCTTTAGGGAGAAAAAATGATTATATCCATTATTATTTCTCAGGTTTTGTCCATGTTTTCTTGCAAACTGCTGTGACTTTACACGTACCCTGATCTCACACTGTCAATGTTTCAGGGTTACAGTTACACTGAAGGCAACAGCTTGTTTGCCACAAGCAATACAAGTCTGTACTACTCCATGTTTTTAAAAGCGTACACATATAACGTTGTAAGGAATGGAAGAGAAAAAAATAATGAAATATTGTAAAACGACAGACAAAGTGGTTATTAAACAGGTTGAATGGGTTGGTTTGTAGAAACTTTTGAACTGGGAGTGCCAACACTAATTCTCTTTTGTGTCCTCTGATTTCCTTTTTGGTGTTTGTGTCACAATGTCTCCAGTCCAATTCCTTTGTACTGTACATTCTGTTTTTATAATTTAAGGCATTTTATTATTTTTTGTTTATTTTGGCAGGACACCTCTGAATATAATCATTAGGTCTGTGTAAGTGCAGTGTTACACTTCCACAAGGAAAAGGTGCCTTTTAAATCGAGATGTTCTTAGTATGTCCACCACAAACATTGTTAGGATGAAATACAGCATACTGTGGCTCAAAATTGGTATTGTTTAGGCAACTGGTAATATAAGTGTGCAGGCAACAGTCTGTGTTTTAAGTCTCCTAGACACATCTGAAAACAAGACATTTCATTTTATGGGTCGTGAAGGAGAGTATATTGTACATCGAGCATAAACAGACCCAGTGAAAGTCAGAACATTTGTCACTTTGAAATTATTTTTGCACCTTTGTCTTGTATATAAAAGAGGAAGGACATGTGTGAATGGTGTAACAAGTCAGCTCACTAGTGTTTCAAAGACAGGTGCTTTTGCCTCAGATTGAAAACTCAAGAGTAGTAGCGTGTCAGTGCTGACAGAAGTGGCTCATATATTCTGCTGACCATGATGTGCTTTTTAAACTGATCAGTTTAAAACCATTGTTTAGTTTTTCAAACAATTGTTGTCTTCTTCAATATACACCACTGATGCCTTTCTTCTACCGTACATTTAAAAGTGCTTTAGATATTTAAGACTTTATTGATCCTGAAGGGAAATTGATGATTTAATATTTTTTTTATAATTTCTAATCATTTGTATTGGCTTAGAAATATATGTATTCTTTACGCTCCAACAGAGTAACCATAAGTGTATAATCTAAAATACTTGAATGAGTACCATTCTGCATGAGTATCTGTATTAGTACAGTAGCTACATGGCCAGATTAAGAGATACAGGTATGTGTGTCTGTTTTATTTTGTGCCTGGTGTTTTCTTGCAGTTATGTTCCAGGCTGCTCATTTTAGTCTTGCAGAGCTCTGTGTGTACGGCTTTATAAGGAAATAAGCTCTGAGAATAGGCAAACCTCCGCCCCAGTGCTGACTTAGAAAAGATGTTGTTAAAGCTACAAATAAACTGACCATGGCCCCCATGGTGAACACATTCTGAGTCCAAGTATTAGGGTAGTGGTCTAAGGTTTACTGCATTTCCTAAAATGAAGAACTAGGCAGCCTTTGAATAGGAAAAAGATCTGAGGATGACCTTAACATTGGCCCACCTGAAGAGCAACAATAATTGACAGAAATGTGCTTCATGTGACTCTCATCCAGCAATTACCAACCATTCACTTTGGGAGCAAATCTAAATTCCTTCTATTTTTTTATCTGTTTTTAAAAGAACCAGAACGCAACACAAAAACGTCTGTCAAAAACAGCTTGAGAGAACACTATGTTCAAGATAGTAGCACATC